AAAAAATGCTATCCATCTTCAGAGAGAGAACTGATGGACTTTGAGTACAAATTAAAGTATAATTTTCTCACTTTATTTTTCTTGCTTTTTTTTCAATGTGACTAGCGTGGAAATAATTTACATAAAAAATTCATTTGCCTTCCCCAAAACACTGCCCTCAAAATATACTTTATTTTTAATGTAAATGCAAGAGGACACTATTATAACACTAGCCAGGGAAACATTCACTTTTGTAGGCTCTCTGAGTAACACAGAAAGGGATGTGTTGTACATTCATTCCATTAAATTCCCTGGGACCAAAGCTCCTTTATAGGAAAATGTTTTTAAAATATCAACATTTCATAATTTGTGGAGGCTCAACTGCCTGGACACAAGGTATTGGCAGGGAGTAGTTTCCCAGCCCTCAGTCAATGGTTTTAGTGGTAGTGGTAGTGGCGCTGCCTGAGGTGATGGGAGTGGGTGAAGAATGTGAAGGTAGGCATAGCTAAAGATGTAAGCAGCATCAGGAGAAGCAGAAAGGATGGTGGTGGGGCAATGGAATGATCCCAGCAGCAAATGTAGAGTTGACCACAGCTGAGGTAGTAGGGTGGAAATGGAGTAACAAGAGAAAGTGAAGAGGAGGGCGAGGCAGCAGCATTGTAGGGTTCCTGGAAGGGCTGGGGCCTACGAGTGCACACCTGTGTCTCCTGTGAGGATCTCCTCTGGACCTCCCCATTCCTATCCATGTATCACTTTTCTCTAATTTACCCATACCTGAAACTTCAAAATAATCTGTTTCTTTTCCCTCTTGCTCCCTCACCTCCCATCTCTAAACCCGGTCCTCTCTTCTCTGCAATGTCTCTCCTGTACTATTGCTCATTCCTCTCCTTCCATTGCTATGGCCCCAGTGCAGGTCCTAATTACCTATTCCTTGGCTCATTGCAAGAGCCTGATAGCCAGTTTCTCTGCTGTTAATCTCTCCCTACTCCAGTACATTCCACAAATCACTGCAAGGGAAATCTTTCTAAAGCACTGTGTTGCTCATGTCAACTCCCAGTTCAAAGAGATTCAATGAGTCCCTCCTGCCTACTGAAAAAAGTCCAAATTTTTCAGTCTGGCACTCAAGGTGCTCTATAATTTGGCTTCACCCACTCAGTCACTTCACACTAATCTCCCATATATCTCCTTATCATTCCTTCTTCCCTCATCTGTCAAGTTGCCCAGCATTATCCTATCTAGTCCTAACACCAGTCTTAAATTTCCATGCACACACATAAACACACACAAAGACCAGACTGTCCTGAAAACAGAAACTGAGAAAATTCATCCAGTGGATGGCGTGCTTCTCTTTAGCCAAAAAACAAAAGAAAAAGAAATCCATATTGCTTCATTTTGATTACTTTGAGTACAGTGTGAAAACAAGCAATGGCTTTGAAATCATAGGACTTTGGTTAAAATCCCACTTCTACTATTTACTACCTATGTGACCTACAAGACAGCTAGGTGGTGCAGTAGATAGAGTGCTGGGCTTGGAGTCATGAAGACCTGAGTTCAAATCCAGCCTCAGACACTTACTAGCTGTGTGACCCTGGGCAAGTTACTTACCCCTATTTGCCTCAGTTTTCTCATCTGTAAAATGAGCTGGAGAAGGAAATGGCTAAACCACCCAAGTCTCTTTACCAAGAAAACCCCAGATGAGGTCACAAAGAGTCAGGCATGACTGAAACTACTGAACAATAAAAATGTGACCTTCAGTAGATCACATGAAGCTCTGTGGACCTTTTTTTTTTTCACCTATAAAATAAGTGGAATTGAGTTAGATGGTCTCTAAGGTCCCTTCAAACTCTGAAGCTATGATAGGATCTCCTACCCAAGAACATAGAATGTTAGAGATGGAAAGGGCCTTAGAGGTCATGAAATCTAGTCTCCCTAATTTTACAGATGAGAAAATTGAGGAATTGAGAGTTAAGTGACATACCCAGTGTCACAAAGCTAGAGGCAGGATTTGAACTCAGGTCTTCTTGACTTTATCCACTATACTACCTGCCATTTAGTCCAAACCCTTCCCTCTACAGATGAGAAGACTGACGCCCAGAAAGGGGAAGGCATTTGCCCAGGGTCATACTAATACCCAGTGATGGATCTGGGTCTGGAATCATGTCTTCTGAATTCCAGTGCTATTTCCACCACACTGTGCCATCTGCAATAAATATGGACCTTGGTAGGATCCACAGGGAACTGAAGAGAATTTAGAGATATATTGTTTAGACAGAACGCAGGGACCCAAGGAAGTGGGAGAATAAGGGACAGGCTGTTAGAAAAGAAGTAATGGACTGCACATGTATAACCTATAACACATGTATAACCTATATCAAATCGCTTGCCTTCTCAATGAGGCAGGGAAGGAGGGAGAGAATTTGTTTTTTTTTTTCCAATTAATTAATTAATTAATTTTTTTTGGCTAGGCAATGGGGTTAAGTGCCTTGCCCAGGGTCACACAGCTAGTAAGTGTTATGTGTCTGAGGCTGGATTTGAACTCAAGTACTCCTGACTCCAGGGCCGGTGCTCTATCCACTGCGCCACCTAGCTGCCCCAAGGGAGAGGATTTGGAACTCAGAGTGTTTAAAAGACTAATGGTAAAAATTGTTTTTGCATGTAATTGGGGGGAAAATACTAAATCATTTTAAAAAGTAGAGCAAGTGATGCATTGAAAGCCCAGAAGATGTCAGGTGCCTCAAGTGTTTAGAAATGCATTCCTTTTGCTTGGTGCACACAACCCTTCTGCAGATGCATTGTTTTAGGATATTGTTGGTACTGATGCTCTAAACAAAATAAGTCTTTGTCCTCCAGAACCTAAGCATGATAACAACTTACATTTATATCTTTTAAGCTTTTCCAAGTTTTTTCCCCACAACAACCCTGTGAGGTAGGTAATACAGGTATTATTATCCCCATTTTATAGATCAGGAAACAGAGGCTTATAAAGGTTAAGTAACTTTCCCAGAGTCATACAGCCAGTGAGTGTCTGAGTTGGACTCAAACCCAGGCTTCCTAACCCCAAATTCAGCATTCTCTTCATAGTGTCCATATAGAGTATATCCCATTCATTATTCTGATTCCTTATCTCATCACATATGGCCTTGGGAAATTTTGCCTTGGAAAACTAATGAACTACCTTATAATTTATAATAATAATAGTTCACATTTACATGGTGCTTCACAGTTTACAAAGCACTCTTCCTCACAACCACCCTGTGAGGTAGATAGTACAACCATTATTATCCCCATTTTACAGATGAGGAAACTGAGGCTCAGAGGGGTCATAGGATTGAAGTTTTCGAGCTAGAAGGAACCTTAAGAGGTCATCAAGTCCAATCCCCTCATTCTATATATGGGGAAATTGAGGCTCGGTGTAGTGACATATTGAAGTTATATAAGTAAGTAGAATGGAAACTCAAATCTTCTGATTTGAACATTGAGTCCAATGTTCTAATGACTGAAATTTTGCCATCTCTTACAGTGTTCATCGCCTTGCTTATCCTAGCTTTTTCTTCTCCAAATTGTAATTTTATGCTCAGGAAACACTTCTCAAAGTTTCTGTTGAATCAGTCCATGTTGGTAAGATAGGAAAAGCAATCAACCAGCTCACCACTCTCTAAATGCATCATTTTATGACACGACTATAAGCTAGCATCTTTGGCATGGCTGGTGAATGAGCCTCTCCTTGGGTGTGACTGGAAGCCCAAATAAAAGGAAATCAATAATTTAATACTATAGAAGTAGGTAGGAAATCCAGAGAAAAGGTGAGGGGAGCCCTTGGGAACGCTGCCAGGAGGGCAGTATCTTCTTAAAATATACAAGATGTGATTATAAAATAATAAGACAGTGCAACAAATGTACTCAAATGTATTCATCCAAGTGAATGCCTTCCTTCCTCTTGATCACCCTGGAGGCCGTGCACTTTACTCAATGATATGAGCTACCATTGCTCAGAACAGTTTTGGAATTCAAACTTCTCTTTGGAAATACCTTTCCAAAACAACCGATTATATAAATTAATAGTTCTCTCTCTCTCTCTCTCTCTCTCTCTCTCTCTCTCTCTCTCTCTCTCACACACACACACACACACATACATACACTATAGTCATATCTCTCTCATGACTTTGTAGTCATCTCTCTTTCCATCCCTCCCTTGACTGTCTCTCAATCTGTCTCTATATTTGTCTCTCTTAATAAACTACCTATTATCCAAAATCTGTCTCACACATTGTCCATCTTATTATGCTTACAAAATCCTGGCTCTCTCTGGAAGAAACCTGGCCTCTTTATACAGTGCTGGTTGCTCTTTCATACCCTCTGACACACACGGCCAAAAGAACTTGGATTTCAGGTCCTAACCCCATAGCTAGAAAGGATCTGAGGCTATCTAATACAACTTTATTTTATAATTGAGGAAACTGAGGCCAGGAAGGATAAGTGATCACAACTGAACCCACGATCACACCAACAGTAAATGTCAGAGGCAAGATTTGAACCCAAGTGCTCTGATTCCAGAGCTAATATTTTTTCCACTGTCATTCCACTGTCTACTTGGCATTCAGTTGGCCCCCTTACCCTCTGCCATTTCAGACTCCTATCTGCCTCCATTGCTCTGCAGACTCTCAGGTTCTGTCATTTACCTCTCTTGACCAAGATCCTTGTTTCACGCTCTTGTTTTTGTACCATTCTTTCCCCAGCACTAGGCCGGGCTCCAGATGATTATTATAAAAAAAATCAAAATCACCTTAAAAGAATAAAAATGGAAGAGATTTTTTAAAAAGATCATGCCACAACTCTGTAGCTAATTCTACATGAAGCGGTTCAGATGTGCTCAGAGCAATGGTAGGATCAAGTATTTGGCCTCCCAAGAGGCTCCCTCATTTGCACGTACAAAATAATCCAAATGATAATAATAAACGGTCACATTATAAATACCTTGTATTTGATGAAAAAACAACAAACAAAAAACAAACCCACAGAGTTCTTGTATGAATCCTAATTAAAGACAACATCACGTTCAGAATGATCACACCTACAGCTACGATGTTCAAAAACTAAAATCGCTTCTTTCCTCATCTTTAGTAGAGGTGATTATAGACAAAGGAGTCAGAAAGGGGGCGAGACGTGTGTGTTACCTGAATGTAACCTCTGAAAAGTTACTACTCTCCATTTGACTCAGACACTTAACTGGTCTCCTTCCAACTTAGACAAGTTGTGGATTCACAGATTTATTCCACACACCCTTTTCCCCAAACACCTTAGTTAAATGTGAATTCCCATGTGTGCTCATTTCCCATCTTCTATGGTGAATTGGGGAAGGGCCTGTTAAATGATGACACAGGCCACTCCTTGGTAAAAGTTTGCAGTTTTCTCTCCCAATACATCTTCTTTTTGTTGAGAACTTCCATTTTTATCCTGTGTTCCTCTTCTGCCATTTCGCACTCTCTTTCGATCTGCTGGATTTTGGCCACGTGCACTTCGTTCATCTGGATCAGCTGCAGCTGCAAAACGGACATTTGCTGATGGTGCTCCTCTTCATGCATCTTCTTTAACGCACTTTCCTGAGAGGCTCTGCTCCGGAAGTTTTTATGGGTCGTCATTCTGACCGCTGAACATGAAGGTTCAGGTTGAGAGGTCCCTTCACAAACTGGGAAGTGAATGAGTTCCTTCTCCTCCTCGCATAGTTCTCGACTTGAAACAGGAAAAGGTTCTGAAAGACAGAAGCAGAAAACAGACATTCAAAGGTTGCTATCCCATATCAACAGGCTGTAATGCAGAGGCCAGATTGGGAAGGGCAATACCAAAACGCCCTGGGAGAGATGCAAGACAAAGTGAATGGGAAGCAACAGAAAGTATGAAAATTTGAAACCATAACCATCAGATAAAATGGATTTACATAGAGTCTTTGCTTCAGTGCACTTTTGCCAGGAGGAAGAAAGTGTTTTCTCCATAGGATAAAGTTCAGGGTTTGTTTTTGTAAGTGTAAGTAAAGTCTAGAACTGAAGTTCTTGAGTAGGAACATCCTTCATTGATGCAACTCGGCAACTTGTCTGTAATTTATTGTTTCCCCTAAGACACTGAAAAGTTAGGTGGTTTACCCACAGTGACAGGATATGTCAGATGCAAGATTTGCACCCAGGTCTTCCTGTGGCCAAGGCCAGTCTTGTATCCACTAATCTGAAATTCATCTTAAATTTTAACAACAACCACAACAATATAACTAAGATTTTTACAGAACTTTAAAGACTACAAAGCTCTTTCTTTATGTGTGGTCTCTTTATATGCTTACAGCATCTCTGTAAGGTTAAGTGTTATTATTATCCCTGTTTTGCAGATGAGGGAATTAAAGGTGAGAGAGGTAAAGTGCCCCTCAGAGCTAGGAAGTATCTAAAATAAGGACATGGGGTTCCTATGGAATCCAAGTCCACTGCTGCATCCACTATGGCACCTAGTGGCCAACTGAAAATACATACATTTTTTTCAGGCTATTAACTAGACAGCCATTTTCTTAATGAAGCAATGAAACCTGGATGACCTAGAAAAGTTAGCACACATTCTAAACATGCCTAATGGCATTTCTAGTGATAAGTTGCTTCCCAACCATGGATTACATTACATTGCTTTTTGTAAGCATAAAGTCCTGATGAGAGAGGAAGGATATGTAGGCATCATTTTTCCCATTTTTTCAAGCAAAATACATAGAAATCACATCATATTTAAGGTGACATAGGAAGTCAATAGCAGAGAAGGGTCTCTCAAGCTCCTAATTCCCAGTATATTGAGCTATATCCAGTCTAAGCCTGAAATATCAAGAGATGATGTAAAAAATACAGCCCAGTTATTCTCTCACTACATAGTAGCACTAAGATCAGGGCACCTTCTTCATTTGAAAAAAAGGAGGAAGGTGGATAAAGCACCGGCCCTGGATTCAAGAGGACCCGAATTCAAATCTGCCCTCAGACACATAACACTTACTAGCTGTGTGACCCTGGGCAGGTCACTTAACCCCATTGCCTAACAAAAGCAAAAACCAAAAAAAAAAAAAAAAAAAGGAAGGGCAAGAATACAACCTTTGTGATACAGATGAGATTAAGGAAATAGGAATAGAGTCAAAGTTAAAAAAAAATTACAACCAATTAAACCAAGATATCACACCATATACCATAATAAGTTCCAAAAAAGATACATGACCTAGATATAAAAGGTCTATCATAAATTAGCAGAGCATACAGGATGATACTTATACAACAATGGATAAGGGGAAGAATTCATGACTAGACAAGACATGGAGAGGATTACAGAAGACAAAAACGGACAAATTTGATAGCATAAAATTGAAAACATTTTTGCACAAACAAAATCAATGAAGTTAAAATGAGAAGGGAAAGTTAACTGGGGAAAAATTTTTTACAGAAAGTTTCTCCAAAAGCAATCTGATATCTAAGATAGAGGGCAGTTAGGTGGTGCAGTGGATAGAATGCCAGACCTGGAGTTAGTAAGATTCTTCTTCCCAAGTTCAAATCAGGCCTCAGATATTTACTAGCTGTCTGACTCTGAGCAAGTCACTCAACCCTGTTTGCCTCAGTTTCCTCATCTGTAAAATGACCTGGAGAAGGAAATGGCAAACTGGACCCGCATCTCTGCCAAGAAAACCCCAAATGGGGTCACAAAGAGTTGGACAGGACTGAAAATGGCTCAACAACAATAACATATAAGATAGAAATGATTAAAATATATACATATAAGCACCGGCCCTGAAGTCAGGAGGACTTGAGTTCAAATCCGACCTCAGACCAAACACTTGACATGTACTAGCTGTGTGACCTTGGGCAAGTCACTTAACCCTGATTGCCTCACTAAAAAAAACAAAAAACAAAAAAAATATGAATAAAATATAAATAAAATAAACCCCTTATAAATAAAAATATATAACTATGTAAATAAAATATAAAAATATATTCCCCCAGGAAATGGTCAAAGAATATGAACAGGCAATCAGTTTTCAAAGGAAGATATCTACATAATCAACAATCATAAGGAGAAAAAAAATGCTCCAAATCACTAATAATCAAAGAGATCCATATTAAAAATAGTCTGATGTTATACCTTATATTTATCAGATTGGCTAAGATGACAGAAAAGGGAAATGACAATTGTTGGAAGGAATTTGAGAAGACTGACACATTAGTGAACTATTAGTGGCCCAGCCATTCTGGTAACTATTTGCAAGTATGCTCAAAGAGCTACTGAACTCTGACAGTGATATACTAAGCCTATAACTCAAAGAGATCAAAAAAGAGGGAAAAGATTCACATATACAAAAATATTTGTACCAGCTCTTTTTGCTATAGCAAAACACACACACATACAAAACTGGAACCAAAGGGGATGCCCATTAATTGAAGAACAGCTAACGAAATTATGGTATATGGCTGTAGTGGAATATTACTGAGCCATGAGAAATCGCAAAAGGGAAACTTTCAGAGAAACCTGATGTAGAGTGAAGTAAACACAACCAAGAGAACCTATTTATACAATAACAACATTGTAATAACAAACATCTTTGAAAGACCTGACAACTTGATCACTATGATGACCAACCAGGGCTCCAGAGGGTTGATGATAGAACAGACTACCCACCTCCTGCTGGAGTGCTGGATTCATGACATGAGACATATATCTTTGGGTAAATCAAATGCGTGGATTTGTTTTTCTTTATTATTTGTTACAAAGGTTGTGTTTTTTTTTTCCTGGGTGGGGTGGGGAGAGATTTGGAGGAAGAAGGAATCTGCCAATAGTTTTGACAAAAAAGAAAAGCAGGTTCTATGAAGCATTTTTTAAACTGCCCAGAAAAAAAAACCAGAAAGAAGTTCAGAAGAAAACAGAAACAGCACAGCTTTGAAAGAAACATGCTAAATTAATTACAGATGTTTTAAAAAAAATGGGCTATACATAATAAAACCATAATTTCATATGTAATACTCCTTTTCTGTTTTATTTTGTATATGGAAATGCTCTTTTTTCTGGAGGGTGGCAGCATTTGTCAAGTACAGAATAAAAATAAATTCTGACCAAGCACTTTAAAGAGTAAGTAAAGAAAAATATTAAAGGAAAATATTTCAAGTCCATCACAGAAAAAGGGGAGGTTCACCTATGTGGCAAAGAGTACTATGCTCTTGTAAATAAACTAGGGATTATCTTATAGGAGAGGAACAGAAGGCCCTGTAGACCATCTCTATCCAACAACACTACTCTGGAGTCTCTGCTCCACTCTTTGCAAATTGTTGTTGATCAATGACATCATGAGGGTGATGTCATGAATTGCCCATGAACTGGATTTAAGCCAGGCAGGCAAAGTCATCAGCCTCATTCTCTCCTCCAGAGTCATAAAGATCTGTGGCAAGACAAAAGTCAAGATGACTGGCGATAGCGAGGGGTACAAATACAGTCTTGGGAAAGGGTGACAGGTCACAAGAAAGCCCAGTTACTCCATACTCCTCAGATACAGTAAGCACTTTGCAAATCTTAAAGCGCTATACAGATTCTAATCTTATTCACTGTGGTTTTTATTCCCACACCAGAAAAGGGCAACATGCCCACTTACTGAAATAATCCTATAAGAAATCTTAGTGGGGCAGCAAGATAGCGTAGTGGATAGGGCACCGACCCTGGAGTCAGGAGGACCTGAGTTAAAATGTGGCCTCAGACACATAACACTTACTAGCTGTGTGACTCTGGGCAAGTCACTTGACCCCAATTGCCTCACCAAAAAAAACAAAAAAAACAACTTAGCAGACATTAAGAGTTATTTCCTGGGACCAAGGAAAAGTATGACACAAAGAAAAGTTATCAATGTATCATATTAAGTATAAAACAAAGAAAAACTTCCATAATTACTTAAGCAGATAAGTGGCAAGATTGTATCCACTACCATCCTTTTTTTTCCCTGCTACCATTCTTAAAATAGGTAGGAATAATTTTTATTAATATAGCAAAGAGATCATATTTAAAACCAAGAATTAACATCATACTGCCTAGAAAAGTTCCCCCTTAAAAATAAGCACAAGGTCTCCTGCAACTAATACCTGCTGAATATAATAAAGAAATGTTGATCACCATGATCAGAAATAAAAAAGAAATGTTATAAATGTAGAAAGTAAGAAATAATTTCACATTATACAGACAACATTAATATAAACTTAGAAAATCCAAGAGAATAACTTAAAATGACAAATTCAAAATATACTCAGCATTCTCTGTCATTATAATGATTAAGTTTGGCTCCAGGAGGAAATAAGAAATTGCACCACCTTCCCTTCTTTGCTGAATGGGGCGGGGGGGAGGAAAGACTGTGAGTGTAGAACCTTCCACATGTCAGACTTATTTGATGTGTTGGGCCGGCATTGTTGAATTGCCTTATGTTTTATTCTTTGTTAGAACAGATAATGAACGATGGAACATATTTGGAAATGAAGGTGATGTAAAAACAAAATATATCACTTAAGAAAATTTTAATGAGCAGCAAGGTTGTGATAAATAATTAAAAATCAACTGTATTCCAATACACTAACAGCACCTAGATAGAAAATACAATAGAAAAAATAATGTGATAGAAAATATTTAATATTTAGTTATAAAACCCAGTAATAAGCTATTTATGTAAATAGAAATATTAAATTCCAGTGGGAGCACTAAATGAAAGGATTATTAAATGGAGGACTTATTTTATTATGCCTGGGAAGACTAAATATTCAGGGCGATTTAATGCAATTGATATTGCATACTTAAGGCCCTATGGGAAATTTTAAAGAATATGAAAAATTGATAGTGAAAATTATCTAGAAGGAGTAAGAATACTAAGGAATTTTAAAAGGAAAAAATTATATCCTTGCCCTACCAGACTTCTTAATCTTAAGAGTTGCTTAAAATTCTTCAGTGGTTCCTATTATCTCTAAGATAAAAAAAACCAAACTCATCAGCCTAGAATTTAAGACCCTCTGCAATCTGTCCCCAACTTACATTTCCAACCTTATTTCACTGTTTTTCCCTTTACTATTGTGTGATGAGATCTCAATTCAATCAGCCAATTCATTGATGATGCCTTTCAACTTTGTTCCTAGAACCTGACAAGTATGCCATCTCTGTTGCCATTTAAGTTGGCATCGAGGTGGCATAGTGATAGAGGACTGGGCTTGGAGTCTGGAAGTCCTGAGTTAAAATATTACCTCAGATGTTTGCTTCCTCCCCGTGTGACCCTCAACAAGTCATTTAACCTGTCTGCCTCAGTTTCCTCAACTGCAAAACAGGAATAATAGCACCTGCCTCATAGGATCGCTGTGAGGAACAAAAGAGATAATATATGAAGCACTTAGCACAGTGCCTGGTACATAGCAGGTGCTTAATAAATGCATGTTTCTCCATCCTCCCTGCCTCCATGTTTTCAAATCATTGAGAAAAACACTGAAGAATATAGGGTGGTATTCAACCAGGGACCTCTCTATAGTTTGAGATCAACCATAGAGAAGGCTTGTTTCTATACTTTATAACACATGCAATAAATTGCAGATGGGCCAAAGAAAAAACATTTTTTTCAAAACTCTCACTAAAAGGTAGAGGAAAACAGAAATATTTAGCATTTACATTGCACCTTAAGTTTTGCAAAGTACTTTATGAATATTATCTCATCAGATCCTTACAACAACCCTGGGAGGTAAGTGCTGTTATTATTCCCATTTTGCAGATGGGGAAACTGAGGCAGGCAAAGGTTAAGTAATTTGCCCAGGGTCACACAGCTAACAAGTGTCTCAGATCACTTATGATGAACTCAGATCTTCCTGCTTCTAGGACCAGTACTCTATCCACTGTACTACTTAGCCGCCTATTTTATCCCATTTTAAGAAGGAAAGATAAATTCATGACTACTGAAAATATGGAGGATGTCAGATAAGACATATTTTAATGGATACTTCTTCAATACTTTGAAAGATTTGTGATCATGCTTATTCTTTAAATCAATGCACATCACAACTTCATTATAGTTTAGACCAGTTTCAGGATTTACCCTGGTCAAAAAAGTCATCACTTAGGAACGTCTCTCTTTTTCTTTAAACTTGGCTAGGTTGGTGATGAGATGATGGATTCTTGGTCCATTTGTCAAGTCAATTCTATTAGCATTTCTAGCTTGCTAGAAGTTTCTCCCTATTGACAGGAAGATAAGGTCAGCTCCATGCCAGAATGACGTAGTAGAGCTGCACTTCAGTATTTTATTATACACAAAGAAAAACATGAAAAAAATGAGAAACATATATATATATCCAAAAATACTAACAATCTGTTGGTTTTGCTTAGCAGTTTGTTAAAAGGGATGTTTCAAGGCTAGGGTTGGGGGTGGAGTGGGAGGAATATATTGGCAAATGAGTTTAATATAACAAAACCCTAGTAGGCATCAATTTAAAAAATTGTTTTAAAAGGGCCAATGAAAAGTCCAGACATGTAAAAAGATATGCCTGATGTCGCCAGTTCCATTTGCTAAGTGGTCAAAGGAGATCCCCTTCTTAGCAGAGAGGTGATGGACTAGAGGTATTTAATGAGACATATAAATTAAGATATGGCAAATAGGAGGATTTGATTTGTGTGACTATGCTTATTTGCTCCAAAGAGAGAACTTTTATTTTGATGAGGGGTTAGGAATTGGGGGAAACGGCAAATTAGTGTTAGAGATACTATGAAAAGGAAGAAAAGAAAATGACATCAATGAATGATTGAAAAATAAAGAGAAGAAGAAAGAAGTTCAGAAGGCACCAGATAAGGAGGGACATATTGGATCTACCATATAAAATTTTTAAATATAGAAAATCACACTATGTAGCTATTAAAAAAGACCAAAAAATAAAAGAAAACTATGAAGCCTAATATTAGTGAGATATTGTTGAAAGCCATTAACATTAGTTTAGTCTCAGCTCCTAGCATATAGTGTTTTACAAACAACAGATGTATAATAAATATTTGTTGGACTGATTCCACGGGAAAATGTGTTCCAGGTTCTAAATAACTGACTTACAAATAGCTTTAGTTTTAAAAAACCCAGTACCTAAGTTGAGGGTTTCCAAAGCCACAAATAAATATTTTCTGGTATTATCCTAAAGAGGAAGGCATCTCTGTATAGCCATTTCTTTTTGCCTGTTACTTATCTACAGATATTTTAATAGTTCAGTGATTACTACTAGCCTTTTAAATTGTGATACCTAGCCATTATTTTTGTGTGTGTGTGCAACAATTCTTCCTTTTCCTTAGATAAGTACTTTATGACATGCTTGTCAAACAGTTATAATTCTAGGAATCAGGAAAACCTGAGTTCAAATCTAGACTCAGACATTTACTAGCTGTGTGACCCTTGGGAAGTCACCTAAACTCTGTCTGCCACAGTTTCCTCATCTGTAAAATGGGTATAATTGCATCTACTTCATAAGACTGTTGTGAGGATAAATTGTGATTCTATTTGTAAAGCATTTAAAAACCCTTAAAGTGCTATGTAAATACTAGAATTATAATCGCTCTTTAAAAAATTAAAATTAATTTTCTTTGAGAATTTTTGAGATCCCTAGGGTATTTTTGGGGGGGTGAGGCAATTGGAGTTAAATTACTTGCCCAGGGTCACACAGCTAGTGAGTGTTATGTGTCTGAGGCAAATTTGAACTCAGGTCCTCCTGACTACAGGGCCAGTGTTTTATCCACTGCGCCACCTAGCAGCCCTCTAGGGTATTGTTAACAGTTGGGAATCACTGAAGAAACATTGCAATAAACTGTGGAAATGCTCATTTTCTGCTATTTAATAACAGGGCAGATCCCCTTTGAAGAATGCCTGTTTCCATCCTTAGAATGCCTTCTGATGCATCATGCTAAATGATATAATCACCAGCAGTCCTTGGGTAATTAAATAAAAAATTCTCCTATTTTTGTAAGTGTCTGTAGGACCTGTAATAAGATATCACAAGGATAAAGGGCTGCAAACATATAAATCAATAACTTATTCTAGCATCTGATTCTTTCCCTTTGCAACAACACCATGGTCCCCAGCTTTCAATGGGGAAAATCAAGAACCAACATCAAAGTTTGTGTAAAAACTGGGGACATTGGGCAGGTAGGTGGCACAGTGGATACATCATCAGCCCTGGAGTCAGGAGGATATGAGTTTAAATCCGGTCTCAGACACTTGACACTTACTAGCTGTGTGATCCTGGGCAAGTCACTTAACCCCATTGCCTAGCCAAAAACCAAAAAAAACCCCAAAACAAAACAAAAAAAAACTGGGGACATTACACAAAAAATGCAGATGGCATCCCAATGAACAGAGCAAGAGGTAACAGGAGCATTTATACCTTGGTTTGCTGTGTCAGGGTGGTATTCTGACTCTTCTTCCGGAGGACTCTGTAAAAAGTAAATTTGCTCAGGGAGCATGCTGGCAATCTTCTCTTTTCCTATTCCCTGTGTGCTTAGAAGCGGACTAATGCTCCGTTTTACCTTCTCTCTCCTTTCATGTGCCATTATCTTTTTGGTCCGTGCTTTGATGTTTTCCCAACACTTCTTCAATTGTTTGAAATCTCGTAGTGAGACGCTTGGTTGAGAATTGTACTCATGGGCGAGGGCTTGCCAGGTCCTCTGTTTAAGTGCAATTGTCCTAGCATCACTTTTCTTACATTCAAGCACATATTTATACTTTTCCACTAATGCAAGCAAGATACTCTTTTCCAATTCAGAAAAGTATTTGGCAGGTTTTATAATTTCGTTGTTTTGCATTTTCTACTCTTTTTCTCCAGGCAGTAAGAATCCTGTAAAAGGAAGTTTTAAACAATAATTATATGTTCAACTAAATCTTCAACAAATTATTTTATCCTAATCATAAGTAAAGACCTAAATTTATTATTTTATTTTTTAAAATTATTTTATTTCATTAAATATTTTTTTAACAATCTTTTAAAAAAATTTGAATCGCAAAATCTCTCCTTCCCACCTCCTTGAGAAGGCAAGCAATTTGGTTATTGATTATATATGTAAGTCATGTAAGTCAAAAGGAGTCATGTAAAGCATATTTCCATATAATCCATATTGCAAAAAAAACACAAAGTAAAACAATAAAAATAAATAAAGTAAAAAAAAGTATGCTTCAATCTGCATTCTGAGTTTTTCAGTTCTCTCTCTGGAGGTAGATAACATTTTTTCATCATCAATCCTTTAGAATTGTCGTGAGCCATTGTCTTAATCAGAGCACCTGTCTTTCACAGTTGATCATCCTTACAATATTATAAAACCCTAAATTTAAATGTTTTCTTCTCTGCTAAAGCTTCTATTAAATAAGAAAATATATGATATCCTTAAATTTATCCATGTTCAAAATATATCTTTTTAATTAATAATAATAATTTAACACATGGGGTTTTAAGGTTTACAAAGAATTTTACACGTAACTTATTTTATATACATTTCTTTTCACACATACAACACTATAAATTAGGTGCTGATTGACTTGCTAATAAGTGTCAACAGGAGAGATTTGAACATAGGTCTTAATGATTCCAAGTCCAGCAATCTATCTTCTACACTACACAACATCATCTTGCATTAGTCTTTCTTTGTCTGGTGAAAATTATTTCTCACATATTACAGCAAATAAAATCAAATAAGATTCTCTATAATCTTACTAAACCACAACTTTTTTTAAAGAGAGAGAGCTTGTTTTGCGTAATGAAAGACCACTGAATTTAGAATCCCAACACCTAGCTTCAAGTCCTAGCTCTTACACTAGTACTCCAGTTAGAGAGGAGATGGGAGTTCCAAAGCTTCTCTAATATGGAAATATGATGAGTTTCCTGATGATGAGGTTTCTTGAGGACATGATGGAGTCGAGGAAAATAAGTAAACCTGACAGGACGTGAAGAAATGGTTGTCTTAGGAGTCTTCCTTAAATAGAGGCTTTCGAAGGCCTTTTTTTAAAAATTCTTGTCTTCCAGCCATTCAGTCCTCTGATAGAGGGCCAGGGTGTAGTGAATGTACCAATTAGGTGGGAGGCTTCACTAGCTGTGTGACCCTGGGCAAGTCACTTAACCCTGTTTGCCTCAATTTCCTCATCTGTAAAATGAACTGGAGAAAGAAATGGCAAACCACTCCAGTGTCCCTGCCATGAAAACCCCAAAATAGGGTCATGAAGAGTCAGATACAACTGAAACAACTGAACAGCAACCACAACCAAAGCTCACATGTATCTACATATCTATATTTATATCTATAGCTATATACACATATGTGATATGTAACAGATATAAAACAGTATAATATATACAATTTGTGACATCTGTATAATATAAAACATGAACATATAACATATATTTAACATATATAACATATAATAAAATAAGTAAAACAGAATGTAGCATAAATAATGTTGGCATAATTGATGACAATACCCATGTGTAATAAGCGGCAGCATGCATGTGTAATACGTCACTTATTATGTATGGGTAATATGCTACACATAACCCATGGATAATATATGTAAGCAATATATTTGACAAGATGACTGGCCTGGGAGCCCTCTTAAAATGATGGCTTTGGAAGGAGCTCTTTGCCTTGCATTCAAGTACTTCAGCACTCCAGCATTCCAAGCAGAGGGCAACATAGTGTAATACTGATCTTTTCCTTTCTTTGGACTGCAGACTATACTTATCAACCACTTGACTTGTATTTTTCCACAGAGGCTATTCCCAATATTCTTGGTTTTTCTCAAACTCTCCATAGCAGCACCCTTTCCCTGCCATCTTCTCAGCTGAGGACCTCAGCTCATTCTACACACACACACACACACACACACACACACACACACACACACACACACACACACACACACGGCTATTTACTGAGAGCTGCTTCTTCTACCTTCCTCCTTATCTCGATTAATTCAGTCATCTTTTCCCTCCCACTATCTCCATCTTTGCCCCTAAATCACCACTTCTCCTTGCGAAGGCAAACTGTTCAATATACACCCTTGATTCTATCTCTTCCAACAGATTTCCCCCTCCAGCATCCCCATTTTCTCTAATCTTCTGTCTCTATCTACTGGCTCCTTTCGTTCTCCCTATAAACACTCCTATGTCTCCTCCATTCTTAAGAAACCCTAACTTCATCAAAACCATACCCAATAGCTATCATCCTGGGTCTTTCTTCCCCTTCTTGGCTAAATGCCTTGAGAAAGCTGCCTACACTCCCTGCCTCTATTTCCTTTTCTTCTATTCTCTTCTAAACCCTCTGCAATCTGGTTTCATCATTCAACAGAAACTGCTCTTTCCAAAGATAGCAGTGACCTCTTAACTGCCAAGTCTAATGGCCTTTCCTCAGTTCTCAACCTTGAATTATCTGTAGCATTTTGACACTACTGATCAGCTGCTACTCCTGGACACCCTCTTCTTTCTGGGTTTTCATGATGTTGTTCTCTCCTGGTCTTCTCTCACTGTCTGTCTGACTACTCCTTCTTAGTCTTATTTGTTGGATCTCATCCAAGTCATGCCAACCAACCATGGGTGTCCCCCAGTGCTCTGACCTAAGCCTCTTTCTCTTTTTGCCCTATATAATGTCAATTGATGATCTCATCAGCTCCCATGAGTTCAATTATAATCTATGCAGATGATTCTTTTATCTATACTTACAGCCCTGTCTCTCTCCTGAGTTACAGTTCCACATCACCAACTGTCTTTTAATGTCTTAAACTGGATGTCCCATAGGCATCTCAAATCCAGCATGTCCAAAACAGAATTCATTGTCTTTTCCCCTTCCAAACCTCTCTATTACTGTCAAAAGAACCACTATCATCCCAAGTCATTGTCTCAAAATCTGTCTTGACTCACTCTCATTCCCTTGCTCCACATACCAAATCCATTGCCAAATCTTTTTATTTCTACTCGCACAGCACCTCTTGTATACTCCCTCTCCTACAACCCTCATTCAGGACCTAATCACCTCACACCTGAAAAGGCCTTTTCACTGGCTTTCCTCCACATCTGGAATGTTCTCTCTCTTCATCTCCCACCTCTGGTTTCTTTCAAGTTCCAGCTAAAATCACACCTTCTACTAGAAACCTTTCCTGATTCCCCTTCTACTGCCTTCCCTCTATTTCCAGTTTATCCTGTGCTTATTTATGCACAATTGTATGTTGTCTCCCTTTTAAACAGTGAGCTCCTTGAGATCAGACACTGTCTTTTGCCTTATTTTGTATCTCCAGTATAACTTAACATAGCACCTGTCATACAGTAGGCACTTAATAAATGCCTTTTCATTTATTCATTCATTTTTCAGTGAAAGAAGTATCTCATGGATGAAACCACAGGGTCCTGAAGTACTGAAATATAGTACCAATACAGGTTGGAGGTAGGAGGAAATTTAACTACCTCCACATTTTAAAATATTATAAAGAAACAACCATCAAAACTACCCAAATAAAAAACAGACCAGGGGCAGCTGGATGGCACAGTGGATAGAGTACCAGCCCTACAGTCAGGAGGACCTGAGTTCAAATCTGGCCTCAGATACATAACACTTACTAGCTGTGTGACCCTGGGCAAGTCACTTAACCCCACTGCCTCACAAAAAAATTCCCCAAAAAATAGACCAGTGGAACAGAATAGGGATCCCAGAAGGAGAACTAAATAAATTAAAATTTTAATATATGAGAAACCTGATAAAAACAAAATTTGATGAAATAATATAAATGTTACAATAATATTATTAGATACTATAATACATAATATAATAAAATAAACCAACTCATTATATTCCTTAAATTAGAAAAATAAGTTAAAATATTAAAACCCACAGTGATGGGCAGGGCTGTAGGAAACAGGTACACTCATATACTATTGGTAGCAATACAAATTGATCAAATGTTTCTGTAGAATATGGGTTCTTAACTGCTTTTTGTATCATGGATACCTTGACTGGCTGGCAAAGCCTATGAACCTATTCTCACAATAATGTTTTTAAATGCATTGGAATAAAATACGCAGGATTCCAAAGGAAATTGATTACTGAAATTATTAAAACAACAACAACAATCACCAAGTTCATGGACCTTGAGTTAAATACTCCTGCTGGAGAGTAATCTAGCAAGTGGTAGAAAAAGCTATGAATTGGTCATATCCTTTGACCCAGTAATCTCAATACTGGGTATATATCCCAGGGAAATTAGCCAAAAGAAAAAGGGCCTACTTGTTCAAATGTGTTTATAATAGTGCTATTTATAGGACCAAAACCTGGAAACATCCCAGACGCCCAACGGTGACAAAATGACTGAACAGACTGGTCACTGCAATAATGCACTTACTAAACCACCATTGAGAATGACAAATAGGATGATCATCCTGATGTATGGAAAGTCTATGTGGAATAATGCAAAGTGAACAGAGTAGGACAAAGAACTCTATGTACACATTGCTTGCAACCATATAAAAATACCATTAGCTAAGAAGACGTTATGGAGTTAGGCAAGAGTTGCTATTGATATCGGAAAGTATGTTTATTTTTTCATTTTAAAGGTCACTAAGTGCAAAAAATCATTTAAAATATTGGAAGCAGAGAAGAGAGAAAACTTTAAAACAAAGGTTAGATCATGAAAACATATTATATTCAAAACAGGAGTAACAAAAAGCAGAGAGACACAAAAGCTGAGAGAGAGAGAGAGAGTTAACAAGCTGTCACAAAGCTTCTTCCATGTGCCAGGCACTGTGCCAAGCCCTAGGGATATAATTTTAAGC